GCTCCAGCAGTGGAAATATCACCCAGTGAGTCAGACAGTAGAGAGGTGATCACAGGGCTCATACTCAGTCTCTCATAACATTTGATTTTCCTAAGAACTCATTTAGGTAACCAATGTTCTCTTCCGACGGCAACACACCAGTGACCTGGGGACCTTCCACTGTGCTCCATCTCTGCAAGTTTCTATCAGTTTCCACATCATCACCATAGGAAGAAAGCCTTTACTACCTGACACGTTGAGGAGACACTTGCAAACTGTATCTCCATCATAGCACTTCCTATTCTTAATTAAAGGAAACAGAAATATTACTTTTAGTGAGTTTTATTTTAAAAATCAGCATTTATTTGTTTTATTTTTTGAAAGTTAGAGAATGAGCGAGAGAGCGCGGTTTCTCATCCACTGTAACTCTAAATACCTGAAGGAGCTAGGGCTGAAACAAGCAAAAGCCAGGAGCCCAGAACTAAGTTGGGATTGGCCACATGGCTGGTAGGGATCCAAGTCCTTGAGTCATAATCTGGGGCTTCCAAGGATTCACACTAAGAGCAAAGAAGAGTTGAGAACACAGTAGGAACTTGAACCCAGCCATTCCATTATTGGATGCAGACATGTCAAGCCTTGATCCTGTGCTAAATGCCGTTGCAGACATTTTATATTTTGCATTACTTTATCTCAACTTTGTGAATAGATTGCCTAGTTTTTAAAACTTTTTTTTTTTAACAAGGAGCAAGGAATTGGCTTGAAAAATCAAGTTATTCTGTAAGTTTGATCACATGAGTAAGTGGTCATCTTAAAATATCCCCTGTATCTGGGCTGGATTCTTTTCCTTTCCATCTAGTTCTAGCACATTTTTCCTCTTACACTGATATTTCTGCTTTTTGGCCTATGTTACTCTATGGTTCTATACTGTAATTTCATAGTTCTTATTGTATGTAGTATATCGAGTTTCTGTTGTGAAGGCTTGCAACAGCTCTTTTGTTATCTCCAATTCACTCCTTTCACTTTCCTAACAAGGCTTCCTAACAGTATTGTTTCTATTAGTGGAAAATAGTCATTTTAAAATATGCTCAATATTTACTATTCAGTAATAAATCACAAGCTGATAATTTGGAATTATGAACTGAAAGTGCAACCCAAGATCAGGGTGCTCACACCTTGATGAGGGAGAGAGAAATTTGGTAGATACCCTTCAATGTAGTTATTATTATGATATTAATTTGAATGAGAGGCAAAAGAATGTTGTACATAGATGCTAAAACAACAGAATTTCAGGCAGAAGGAATAGTGACTTCAAAATGCCCAAAGGCTAAAAGATCAAACAGTGAGAATGCATGTAGAATTACTAGCAAGATAGAAAATGGATTGTCAGTTCCTGTGCATTTTCCACAGCCAGGATCAGCAAACCTTTTGTGAAAAGAGAAAGCTATTTTTTAATTCCACTTTGAAAACTATTTGGTTTCTTTTGCCACTACTCAACTCTGCCTTTGTGGTGTGTGAACTGCCAGAGAAAACATATAAATGAGTGGGCATAGTTGCAGTCTAATAAAACTTTATTTAAGAACACCTCAGCTGTAAGCCATTTCCATAACTTTGTATTTGTCTTATCATAATTGCAATCAAGGTATTACCAGACAAAGAATTGGCAAAGTATATTGGAGCTAAGAATTTTTGCATTTTTAAATGCTGTAATACAAACACAGGAAAAACACTGGGCAGAGACCAGGTATGGCTATAAATCTTAAAATATTTACTACCTGGCCTTTTACAGGAAATGGTTGCCAATTTCTGCACTAGACTCACCAAATGAGTTAGGCAGTTTTTCCTCTTTCTCTTTCATCCTCTGAAATAACTTCTCTTACCAAAAAAAAAAAAAAAAGGATAAGGGGGATATCTTTGACTCAGAACAGAAAATTAAATAATTTAGCTCACATTATGTAGTGCCACATTAGCTCACATTATGGTAGTGCCAACTTAATTTTTTGTAACATAATCCCTTTCCTGAAGAATCAGTTTCAGAGAATTAAAGTTCTAGCTCCATTTCAAGTATTGACAACCACCTGTGGTCATTGGTTATCACAGTGGGCAAACAGTTCTAGAAGTTTTATAATGATTTCTATTTAGCTCTACAACAGTGTAGTGTAGACAATGTACCTAAAAGGAAGCTAGGTAAGCTTATGCATTAAAACAAACAAACCAAAAACTTCATTATCCAGAGTCTCATAAGAATTAAAACACTAGAACTGTCTCAACATATCTTATTTATACATATTCCCTTTTCTCCATAAAGATTTTTGCAACATGGAAGGAGACATGTCCATCAGTTGTTTGGGAGTAACTTATTATTTTACATTTATTTTATTTATTTGAAAGGTTGAGTTACAGATTAAGAAGGTAGATCAAGTTAAAGGACGATCAAGTTAAAGGTTGAGTTACAGATCAAGAGGGAGAAAGAATGAAAGAGAGAGAGATTAAAAGGGAAAGGGAGACATAGAAAAAGAGAAAATGAATCTTCTGTCCTCTGGTTCACACCCCAAATAAAAGAAACAGCTGGGACTGGCCAGACCAGATCCAGGGATTGATCCAGGCCTCCCACATGGTTTCAGGATCCCAAGCATTTGTGCCATCTCATGCTGCTTCCCCAGGTGCATTAACAGTGAGCTGGGTTGGAAGTGGAACAATCGGATAAAAACTGAGTCTATATTAGATGCCAGTGTCCTAGGTAACAGCTCTACAGCTTGCAACTACGGAGAAAAGAGTATTTGAATCCTATTTAGCAATAGCCTAGCTTGGGACACATTGCTCCAGCCTGCAGTAAGAGCAATGATGATGATGATGACGATGATGATGATTTTGCCTAGACTGGTTTATCTGCCTGTATGGATGATTGCAATAAAAACGGTTATCAGAAAATGACAGCCAACAGAAAGCATCACATCTGTATCTGCTATTAAGAACTTTTAGCCCTGGCATATACCAGGTACCACATAAAATTTTTGAATAATGATGAATCACTTGATAAGAATTTTTAAAATAAGACTTAAGTAGAACGGAGAGTATAAATGCATTTACTTTGAATTCATTTTTATTATCTACATACTTTTGAAGGCCATCCAAATTCTCAGTTTACAAGTTTAGAACTGGTGATTATATAAAGTGTCCATTAACATTGAAACTAACACAACATTCTCTTTATAACTTCCATTTTCCCATTGAAATGGAGCAGAGGTATCCTGCTCTTGTATATGTAGCTGTTAATGAGCTGCATACGGTATTGTAGAATTTTGAATGTGACTCTCTATAACACTATCCTTTGACCATTATTCCAATTATAGCAACTTTTCCATAAAAACGTGTATTCTTTCATATTGCAAAAAAACAATGTTGTTTGATATTGAAAGAACATTTATTCTCTTTTAGGATTTATGTAAGTTCTTGTCAGAGGGCGTTTTAATCTTTACAGAGTGATTTAGTCATTTATAACAAAATTTGAAATTAAAGCCTGGAGTTTTATTGGAGACAGAATTTTCCTGAGTTTCCGAGGTTTCTATTTGACTCATTTTTCTTCAGAGAGGCTCACTTCCCCTTTCTGTGAAACAAAAGCTTCTTCTCTCCCCTTCTGTGCAATCAAGAGAACTCGGAGCATATTTTTCCTTTCACTTCATTTTTCTTTTTGTCTCTGGGAGTTTCAGCAATATTGAGTGCGACAAATCTTTCCATTTTTATTTTTCTGAAAGACATGACAGCTGAAAAGCAAAAGATTTATTTCATTCATAAAACCTTCGAATTTGCTATATCAAAACCAAATTCACATGTCTTAAATTACTCTTTTTTATTATTTAAAAAAATAAATCCTTTTAAAAAAATTATATGAAAATCAGGAGAGCGGAAAGGAGAGAAAGAGAGAGGGAGAGAAAGAGATTGTCCATCTCCTGGTTTACTTCTGATCGGCATAGCTACAGCCTTTGCAGCCGTTTGGGGAGTGAACCAGCCCACAGCAGATCTTTCTCTGTTTGTTTCCTTCTCTGTTTAAATCTGTCTTTCCACTAAAAATCAATAACTCTTAAAAAGTAAGCATTTTGATCTTAGCTTCAACTTTAATGCATTGTTAATGTATAAACATAATATAATAGGTCATGTAATTCAAAATAAATGCTTATGTATAGTTACCTGCTACAACTATTCTATGAATTCATTTTAGTGCTTTTGCTTTGTGCCTGTTGGTAAGTAATTGTAATCATTGCTTAGTTTTTAGAATGTTTCAGTAATTTGATGGAATATGTGTGAAGAGGAAATACCTTTCTTCTAGTTAGTTCAGGAAATCACCTAGTATGTCTATTTTTCCAGAGTCATTGTGAGTTTTCAATTTAACACACTCATCTGAGTGTGACTTTAAATACTGATTTACCATGACTCATCGGAAATAATTTTATCTTTAATGCTAGGTTGTTAGGTGTGTGTCAACAGGTAAAAGTGAAGAATCTTTCTGGTAATGTAAATATTAGATTCAACTGTTGCTAGGAAACTCAAAAGCAAAAAAGTGAAAATAAGAATGTTAAAAATTATGAAATCTCAATACCCTTGTTATAAACAATGCAGCTGTGAAGTTCTGTAAAGTATTTCCATAAGTGAGTTAAAGAGAAAAGAAACTCCTTAAAATGAAGGGATCATTTCCTGTTTCACTTTGTTTCCTGCTTGAAGAGCTTTTGTCCCTCACAGGAGTTGCTTTTAATCTTTGGGAAGGTCTGTTCTGAATTTACTCCTTTGGAATTGGTTAAGATCCCTTTTAAGTGTATGCTTTGTTTTCTAAAAAGCTTAGCTCAGTTGAGCAACCTGCTGCTACTGTTGAAAAAAAAAAAAAAAACCAAAAACACAAAACTGCTGAGTAATGCTAGAGTCTTCTCTTGTGGCTGATGCAAACCTGGAGAATTTGCATCATCATGAAGCTGGAGTAAGTTGGTGTGACAGCCAGGAGCTTAAATACAAGCCCATGAGGAAGCTGAGCTGGTTTGTAATGATAGGGCAGCAGCAATCGCAGCAACAACAGTGGTAGTGCAAGGACGTGGAGAACTGAGAGCGCCATGAACACACAGGTGTTCCTCAGTCGTAATTAGATAGTTGTGAAGGATAAAATACACCTGAGTTCTTACCTGTGCTCATAATAGCACTGAGGGAGAGACAGTTTGAAAGCCAAGAGGAGGAATCAGTCACACTGTAAGAGCCACTAAAGTTAAAAGTTTTTGTTTTCTTTCTCTTTGCGGTATTTTTCCCCTGGGTGTCACTACAATGGTCCGAAAACCTGGTGTGTCCACTATCTCCAAAGGGAATTATCTGCAGGGAAATGTGAGCGGGAGACTGCCTTCCATGGGCAGCAGTAAGGAACCCGCTGGGCAGGAGAAAGTGGTGCTCAAGAAGAAAATCACCTTACTGAGGGGAGTCTCCATCATCATTGGCACCGTCATCGGAGCGGGGATCTTCATCTCTCCCAAGGGCGTGCTCCGCAATACCGGCACCGTGGGCATGTCTCTGGTCGTCTGGACCGTCTGCGGGATCCTGTCCCTGTTCGGTGAGTGAGACTTCTGGGCTGGGAGGTGTGGCTGCGCGGCTGGAAAGTTTGCCGTCTGGGGAAAGTGCCGGCTAACTTTGAAGGAATAGCCAAGTCTGTTCCTCATTATCTGACTTGTACGTGGAGGTATGTGAGATGCCGCAAAGCCGTGCTCACTGCAGTCTTGGTCCTGAATTGCCCCAAATTGCTTCCTGCAGGCTACACTCTCTTTTCCTAACTCCGACTGTTTTCTGACTCTCCCCTGTGGTGATGAACTCAAAAGCAAACTTTGATGACCCAGGAAAATGCATGCATGCTTTCTACCTGGGCATTCGTGACTAGTTACCTCTGCTTTGGGCATTCAGGCAGCTGGCACTCTGCATGAGACACCTGTGAAGCAAAATGCGGAGTGGCCTCTTTAGACCCGGAACAGCAGTTCAGCACAAGCCAAAGTGACTGGATTAGCAAAAACAAATGGGGGCCAGTCTTTTCCTTCCTAGTTTTCTTAACACGCCTGCTTGTTAATTACTAATACTTTTTCTAAAGTCTTGCCCATAACTCAGTCGTTATCATCCCTGGGAACAAGGGAATGGCCTGAGCACGCGTCAAATGTTTTTCAACCTTTATCTCCTCTTAACATTTCTTGACTTCTGCAAGACAAGTTTTAAAACTACTTGTTAGCTTGCTGTGCTTGCCCAGATCTGTTTTCTTCATCTGTGTTTCCCATGGTTTCCGGAGACCCAAATAATTTGTCCATCTCTTTGCCAAGTTAATTTGGAAGGAAATGGTACAAGAAATATGATTACTATTTTTGAAAGATTTGGATCTCTTCTATTGATTATGAGTTATTGATAAGGAGGAAATAACTACTACTTAATGACACAGGCAAATTGTTAGAGGTTACCTGAGTTAGTTGGAAAGGTCACACAAACAAGAGCTATCAAAAATATTAAAGTTTGTTTATACAGTACAGTAGGAATGCCTACAATTATTTGCTCATCTCTGGAAATGTTTGTTTTGATTTTGAAATTCACTTTAAGTTACTGGCCTTTTTCTTATCTTTATGTGTAAGGATCGATTCTTGGTCCTACAGGTGCCAGTCCATTCACTCTTTCTATTTGAGTTTTGTGATGCTTTTATGCACTGGTTTGGGCAATCATCTAGAGCATCAAGCTTCTAGGTATTTTGAGTAAAACATGTTAAAACAGTCAAGAGGATTTTTCTAGGTTTTTAAGAGGAGTTTTTGGTATTATTCATGTGAAGGGTTTGTGTTTCATAAAATGTTTAGTAATGTTTGTGTGTCATTGTTTTCCAAGTGTATTCTTCATCCTTATACAACACTGTGCAGTAGTGTTACAACAAACTCTTACAGAAGTCTTAGCGATGGTTAGAACTGAGATAGCTCTATCATATATAGTTGTAGATAACCAGAGAGAACATTAATTGTTCATCATCATAATGACTGTTCCCTCAGCCTTTAATCTTCCTACAGCACTTGAATTGTCCAGAATCAATCATTATCTAATCATAAAAACCACAACCGGTTTCCTGGACTTTGCATTCTTACAACATGTACGCTGCTTCCACAACATGATTACATGTTTGCACATACTAAAATTTATTCATATGTGATCATCTAGAGTACTCTGAGTGTTGAACTAGCTAACGTGACATTGACTTCAGCTATGAAAATATGTGCATTAGTCTTTCACCTTGTGCTGGAGCTCGGAGGAAACAGAGGAGTGCAGTTAAGGTTACATGTGAGTTGGTATTCTTTGAGCATTAATTGCAGGGAGTGTACTCTTGTATTAATCTACTTCTCTGTATTTGCACTACGTTTGTCACTTAAAGTACTAGGAGCTTTATGATAGGAGCACCTCCCTAACGGGAAGCAAAGCAGAGTGTATGGAACATATTTTTATTTCCCTTAAAACCCTAGGACTCTGGAATTAAAAGTAAATAATCTATATACAAACAAACCCTAATTTAAGATTTTTGACTTGTGATTTTATAGTGGTGTATAATACTAATAATAATAATTCATCATTCACTAAATCACCTGCACTATTCAAAACTTTATTATAAAACAGAATTCATATGGATGATGTTGCCCAGCTCTAGGGTATTGCAAGTATTCTGAGCACATTTCAGTTAAACTGGGCCAAACTGATGTTCAGCAGATTAAGTGGACTAAATATATTCAGAAATTCATTATGTTTTTAATTACCATGATTCATCAGTATATAAACCCTTTATAAGTAGAGGAGTATCTCCAGTGGATTTACAAGTGAGAACCTAAACTATGTGTGGTGGAGAGTAGGTTTAGGCTGTGATCTTAGAGTCTGTTTTTCATTTATTTTCTACTTGAAAATTTGTTCTGAGAATGATGTTCCTGTTGTACTAGGTTAAGGACTCAAAAAGCGATAGTAAGATTCACCGAGTATTCAGATTTTGTTATTGTTAGGCAGTTTTACCAAAAGCATAACTGATTTGATTACTGACATTTGTCTGTTCTTTGAGTCTCTCATGAAACTAAGGCAAAAGTTTTGAGTTACATTTGAGTATGTAGCCATATAGATAACACTTTTCATAGAATGTTATGTTGCATTATTATAATCAATTGCTCAAATTGATAGAAATGGCTATAATCCATGCTGTCCCATTCTGAACTCCAACGGAAGTAAAGTAAAAATTGGATTCTCCATTTCACAGGAGATGAAATTGAGGTTTTAAAAATATATCTTTAAAGGTTATTTGTTAGAAAAAGTTACAGAGAGTGAGAGAGAGAAAAAGAGAGACAGACAGCGAGAGACGGAAACAGTGAGAGATTTTCATCCATTGGCATACTCTCCAAATGGCCACAACAGCCAGAGTCAAGTATGGCTGAATTTCTAAACCCGGAGCTTCTTCTGGATTGCCCGATGCCTGTGAGGGCCCACGTACTTGGACCTTCTTCTGTTGCTTTTCCAGGCCGTTTACTGGGAGATGGATCTGAAAAGCGGTAGTCAGAACTTGCAATAGTGCTCATATGGGGTGTCAGAGTCACACGTGGTACTTTAACCCAGTGGCTCACAAAGCTGGCCCCAAAACTGAAGTTTTAAGAGATAACATTTCTTGACCAATTGCACTGAAAGTTGAAGCCTAAATGTTTTTGTCTACAAGTGATTTTACCTCCTATACTTAGCTATACATTGTAGCATCTCTTTTTTTCTTAATTTTTATTTTTCATGATATAAATTTATAGGCTCGGGGATTTCCCCTTCCACCTTCTCCATTTCCCCTTCTACTCATTGTTTTCCCTGTTTTATTGCAATATTGTATTCTCTCAGCAATAGTCACTAGTCTATCATTCTGTTAGTGAAGTGTATCATGACATTGTGGGTATTGACAATGGTAGAAAGTTCTGCATCCTACTGTCCAAATATTTAAAAACATGTATATATACGTGTGTGTGTGTGTAGTTGTATGTGTGTGTATAGTTAGATAAGCGTGTGTGTGAGTATTCATCTAGAGGAACTGTATATGAAAAACTAGTTTGCCAAGAAGTGCAAAGTGCAGTATGCATGTCTACTCCCAAATGAAAGATGGATTCCCAATGAAATTGTTAAATATATCTTGGCAATAAAAGTTCTTTTCATTTGTAAAAGTATGTTCCTTCAACCACCCAGAGTATATACTTCAAAAACATGAAAATGACCTCTTCTAGAAACAAACAAGGCAGTCAGTTTGATTTCTATGATAGAGCGTATAATCTACAAATCAGTTCATAGGGTTCACGTCTTTCAGGATTACATCTTAAAATCCGTTTTTCTTTCTCTTTTTAAAAAATTTTCACTTGCCATAGAAATATTGTTAGAAGGATTCTCAGTGAGATCAGCTTGAGCTAACTATCTTTATGTGACATCGTGTTCTTCACAAGTCAGTGTTATTAATATCTACCTTCCAGTTTTCTCTGGTTCAACTCAAAGTTTTGAAATATATGACTATTTTAGAAGTTTGTCATTATTATTTTAAATAAGCTTTTGTTGCCCAAATACAATGAATTAGACCTCTAAGAGAGGAATTTAGAAGAGGAATTTGGTGGGTTTCAGCAAATGCAAAATGGTTATTTGTCTTGAAATAAGGACTCCATTCAGCCCAAAGGAAGTAAATGTAACTCGGGCAACATTTTCACTGCTTTTCGATGCAACTTCTGGGTAGCTTAAAATATGTATTAAATGTGTACTTTTTATTATAAATATTTCACAGGAGCCTTGTCCTATGCTGAACTGGGAACAAGTATAAAGAAATCTGGTGGTCATTACACATATATTCTGGAAGTCTTTGGTCCATTACTAGCTTTTGTGCGAGTTTGGGTCGAACTGCTCATAATACGGTAAGAGCACAGATAGAAAAATATTGAGAAAAAAGAAACCTATTTGTTATACCTTTGTGAAACATCTTGGTTGTCTTTAACAAGTTAGAAGCATGTACATCATGTGACTATGCTGTAAACAAAATATTTCAAGATTTAAAATCTGTTATAACACACACTTTTCTAAGCTAACATTTTTAAACTGAATTTGTCACTGGCAGCACTCCATATTGATACTAAAATTTTAAGGTTCTGCTTTTCTTTAATCTTCAATTACTTTTTTTGCCATTTTTAGGAAAGATGCTTACTTGGAAGGACGTGAAACATCAAAAATATTCCTTGATAAACTATATTTTTTGACTGATCCAACAGAATTAAATATGCTAGTTTTTTTTTGATCATAGGTTATATAATCTGGTTATTCATTCTATTGGATGCTTAAGAAATTTATATACCTAACAATTTGGTGTTTCATTTCCATGATAGTCCCACATTTTATAAAATATCAAATTTATATCCCATGAATGACTCAGTTCCTCATCTTAAACAAATCAATGGACTACAGTTGTGAAAACCTTGTTGACGTTATTGTAAACACGTGTTCCCTTCCTGATTGTCTTGGCATGAAATAGTGCAAAGTCACTCTGAATAGCATATTTCTTTCAACTTCATGCGGAGCCTGTGATGTTGGATGAGTGAGGTACTCTACCACAGCTCTGTAGGCTAACTAATTCTACCAAGTCTGAACTGTACACTTTTGCTGGCAGTTTGATAGAAACAAGCATGACAACTTGTGCTTTCTGTAAACTTCTCAGCATCACAAAGTTAATGGAAGGATGGAATTACAAAATAATGCAGGTTTTCCACGAATCTTTTGAAGGCTGCTTCTACAAAGCTCAGCATTCAAATGAGCTTTTATTCTGTTACTTACAGGTGGCAAACACTGAACTAATAAGTTTACCCATTGAACTCATCATAAATTTTATGGTAACTCTTTTCATGAGAAAGAACTTCTAATTTTTTAAAATTATTTTTCTTATACTATAATTTTATGTGGCAGTAGCAACATATCAATTTTTAAAGATTCACTATTTTAAAAAAATTTATTGGAAAGTCAGATATACAGAGAGGAGGAGGAAGGACAGTGAGAAAGATCTTCTATCCACTGATTTACTCCCTAAGTGGCAACAATGGCTAGAGCTAATGGCTCTAGCTGCTAGGCTTACCACATAGGCCCTGGAACTTCCAATGATAAACAATGCTGAATTGTTTAAACTCTTTTTTGAAATAATAATGAAAGATTTTTTTCTTTCTGTAAAATTCTTCATATTGGGATGTACTTCTGCTCCTTCTGCATTGTTTGATTCTTACATAATTCTCAGTGTTCAATTTTAATCCTGTCTTTTCCAATGTGAATTTCCTTGTTATTTTAGCCTATATATTTCTTTATTTTTGAAAAATTATCTCTGCACATTTATGTTGATAGGATCCTTTGTATTCTTAAAATCTGGATGTCTGAATTCCATTTCTCTTGAAAAATTAGAAGCAGTTTAATGCTTTGAGAGTAGGTCTAATAATTTTGTAAACATCTTAGACAACTGGCAGTGTATATTGTTATAAAAAGTAGTAGAGTTATCATTGAGTAAGTGAAAGTTCAGTTATATTTCGAGTACACCATGTTCAATATCCAGATGAGTGAGCTGCTTACGAACAGGACATCTTATCACACTCCTGAGCGTTAGAGCCTCGTGTGCTGAATTCAGCTTCTTCCATCTATTACGTATGGAAGTTTACCTAATTGCTTTATGTTATTATGAGCTTGATCATGCCGTTTGCAGTAGCACAGATGTGGTGCTCACTGATTAATTTATCCATTCAATAAAGTGCTACTGAATGTGAATGGCAAGGCAAACAAATCTAAATTGGAATGAGTCACAATTCCTGTTCAAATAACTGATAATCACATACTACCTTAACGCCAATAAAACTGCCTCATGATATGGCATTAGATTTGTATGTTTTTGTGTGTGTTAATACAGGATATTGCCTGCACATATTCTAAAAGCTTTTAAAAAGTCTTTATTTACACCTCTGTCATGACAGACTGTGCTGCTTATTTGGTTTTTGAAATAATGCAGAAGAACAAATTACTTGAAAAGAGATATGACATTGAAGTACTTCAACTTTTCTATTACCAACACCTATGAAAACTACTTCCCACTAAAATTTTATCACCAAATTAAGTCAAAGTTTCCAGAAACAATGTGTTAAGCCTATTTCAAGGGAAGACAAACTACCAATCAGGGCATAGCAAAGAGGAGATTCTTAACTTAAACTCACCATTCACTGTATATTCAATATGTATTGGATTTTTCCAATATGTAAGTCTGCACTAACCAATGGGGATATAACCATGGTTAAGTTGGGCACAGTCTTGTACCCCTGGAGTTCAGGATTCATTGGAACAAATAGTTATCAGTGAAAACATCACATCAGTGTGTGTAAAATTGTCCCTGTGATAAGTTCTGTAAACAGAAGTCTGTCAAATTCAGTCACAGTATACTCTTGCAGATCTGACCCACCAGGCCTTACCTGGGAAAAGGGACATGGAACCAAGACTTCAAGCTTTTAAAATAGTCAATGAGTTGAAAAAGCTTTGGGCAGAAAGGACTCCCATTCTTCCTATGGGAGGAAGCTGATTAAAAATATAGGGAGTACTTAGGACAAGACTTGAATGTGATGCAAAGGTCTTTCATATTCTGAGCATGATACGAAAGTGCCATGATGGTATAATCAGATTACAGTTTGTGCATCAAAGACTTTATAAATGGTGGAAAACAGGAAAAGCAGTCTTGTTTGGATAGGAGAAAGAAGAAAATCAAGAACTGAATGTCACAAGCCAAGACTGGCAACACGTGATGGTGGTTGGTTTTCTGATAATCTAGGAATTCAGCACACGGCATTAGGGAACATAAGAAAGCAGAAAAGCTGAAAAGGAGGTTTGTCATAGAGGCTGAGATGATGCCATGGATTTGCTTGCTTGTGTAAGGAACATACATTCATGTATCCATACATTTAAAATGCCAGAGGATAATGTTTTCATAAAAACACTTGAATAAGTAATTTAAGAGTTTATTCCCTGTGTTGCAGTTTACATGAAATTGTAAGAGTATTGTTAGTTGAAATTTATACTTTGCATCACAGTACTTTTTTAGAATTAAGAAAAATCACTTGTATTTGAGTTTTTATCTATACAGAAAACAAAGCATCAAGTATTTGGTTATATATCTTCCAGGGACACCTATCAAAAGCATTATGTTTTGTGTTATTTTCTAGACCACACCCTGACTCATTCTATCTGTGCCATTAATAAGTTTGTACCGTGGCTGGAGTTTAATGGTTGACTTGTTGAAAAAGAAGATAGCTTCTAATAAGGCCCAGCTTTGTCAGTACCTTCTGTAATCAACCAGATTTTTGATGAGAAAAAAGATCACATACAGTAGGAGAGGGGCAAAATTGATAGTATCGAGCCCTGCTTCTAGAACTATGTAAAGTTTAAAATGTAGCTACCAATTTTATAGGCAATATTTTGGAAGAAATGTCTATGGCAACCTAAACAAATATCGTGCTTTGAATATTACGAATTTTTATGCTTAAGGTGTCCCATATGCTATATAATAATACTTCAAAGTAGAAAAAGTTCAATAAAAATGTTTTTTTTAAATTTTTATCTTTCTATAGTTTACCTAAGTGTAAATAAACGCATTATTTTTTAGCCCTGCTGCAACTGCTGTGATATCCCTGGCATTTGGACGCTACATTCTGGAACCATTTTTTATTCACTGTGAAATTCCTGAACTTGCAATCAAGCTGATTACAGCTGTGGGAATAAGTGAGTATTACAGAGAAAAAAAATCAAAAAGAAAATAAATGACCGAAAATAAAATTCAATTTTTTTCATGGTTGTTTTGCTCCCCACCTTGCATTATTTTGTTTGTAATTCCTAAGTTGTGTTGGAAATTAAGGAGTACACAGATCTCTGATATTGCATTTCATGCCAGGTTTGCATTGAATCATCACATATATTGAGTACTATTTTTTAAAAGCAGGTAAAAAAATGACCTTATAAGTAAACATTATGGGTATTGTATGTACACAAGGATTTTGAAAGATGAAAACCCAGTTATTTTATGAGTTTTTGAATTGGAAATTATCCTACCTCTCAATAAGTTGAAATGTAAGTCATACTTCATTATAGAGCTGTGTTAATGTAGTCGGGGTATATCTTGTGTTCGTATGTTTTATATTATTTGCTCCTGTTACTCAGTGTTACAGTTTCAGCTCTCTATTGCTGCTCATGATTTAAATTCTCTTTTAAGATTTGATTGTTAGTAGTATTTTTCAACTAGAACTTTTTTATGATTTCCAAATTAGAAAATTGTTCACTTCTCAATCAATGAGAGTGGATATGAGGAACTGGGAAAATAAAAAGAACATGCACAAAGTGACGTAAGTGACAAAAGGACAAGTAAAACTCTAATTTTCTATAAGATTCTGAATAACAAACCCTTGAGTATGATGGGAAATGATAACACAATTCTTGGTGCTACTTAAATTACTGATTTTGAAATCAGTATGATCATATTTGATTAAGTTTTAACTGTTCATTAATGGAAAAGAATGAAGACATGGCCAACCTGTATGCTAATGGAGTTTTTGTCATGCACACCTTGTGTGTTTCAACAGGGAAATTAAGATAGACAGACTTTTGACCATAATAAGAAGAGTGATACTTTGTAGGCAGGCATCAGAAAACACACAAGATATCTCTGGTTCCAATAAATGTAGTTCATTCATCCCGGACTTCCCACATAACCACCAAATTTGTGCGTATAATATTCTTTCAGTGAAACCTCCTGAAAGTCAAAGAAAAATCCTGGAAATATATTTGAGTTTTAAAGAGGTGAGGTGTACTTAATTCATCTTGCCCTTGACACACCTTACAGAGCTGAGATTTTGAGGCATATCACTTAACTTTTCTTTTACATCTCATTATTCTTACTGTCAACCATGCTAGTTTATAAGATATTATGCAGACTGGATGATATTAAATGAGATTATACACACACACTCACTCAACGCTTTGAGTAATACCAAGAAGTTTTTAAGGTGCACTAGAAATGATAGCTGTTTATAGCTGTGTATGAAAATAATTGAGGGTCTGTAAGACTAGGAACTATGCATATTCACTGCTTTCTTTCTAGGCCATTTCACACCTCCTGATGCATTGCTTATTCTCAACAAATATTTGTTCACTGACTGATCCTATTATACAGTATATAAAAATGTAAAATCTTTTTCTCTGGCAGAAATGTGTGTATTTTACTTATACTTTAAGCTCAGAAGACTGGGATGTCTTCATTTTTTTTAAATATCAGGGAAATGTAGTAAAATGAAATACAGCTTGCTTGATATGATGTTCATATCTGACACCATGCATTTTTGTGGGCGGGACCATTTAGCATAATTGTTTATAGCGCAGGGTCTGGAGGCAAAGAAACAGATTGAAACAATGTCACAGCTTCTTAAATGTGTAATCATGAGATAGTTAACAAACTTCTTTAAGCTTTGTTTTTACTTATTGGTCAAATATCTCTGTAAAGAAAATTTGTCTTTAATGGCTGTGGCAAAGTAAAATTAATTCTGAAGTTTTAAAACCTTTGATAGAATACTTTGCCCATGGAAAGTTGTTGATAAATCTGGTTGTGCTGAATCTGGGCTAACATTTTTATATGCATCATAGTCTTTTCCCTTGAATGATTGATGTAGAATTTACTGAAATGATCATATTTTGAAAAAAAAATTAAAAAAAGGTTAGAGGTAGTATGTTTCAGAGCTGTGTAAGTCAATAAATGATCTTTGTTCAGAAGTTTAAATGAGGTGAACAATATGGCTCAACAGGTTAAGTCTCTATGTGTGACACCTGCCCGCACAACTCCCCTAATCAGAGTCTACTCCAATCTCAATCCAGCTTCCCGCTGCTGTACATGACAAAGCTGTGGAGGATGGCTTGTGTACATGGACCCCTACCATACACATGGGAGACTCAGAAATAGTTGGGCTCCTGGCTGCAGCCTGGCCCAGCCCCTGTCGTTGCATCCATTTGGATGTGAACCACCAGATGGAAGATCTGTCTCTTCTTCTCTCTTCTTTCCCCTGTCACTCTGCCTTTCAGATATGTAGCCTCTTAAAAATAAAACTGTAACTAGAAGACTTAAAATCAATGTGATGAAATCCTTTTAAAGATGGCACTTTGTTCTTATTTATCCCAATTTTATAAACTTCTAAAGAGAAAGCTTCTGTTCCAGAAGATGCAGTGGAAACACTTCAAACTAAAACTTTAACATAGCTATGAAAAAAGGTAAGTATGTTGGGGTTTACAAAATGCATATAGTACAGATTGGAGTGGATTAAGCAACAAAGAGTCCAAGTAAATGCTAGTTGAACCTTCAACATTTCCTGCTGTTTGCTGCTAGTTGTAGATTAATTTAAAAATTGGATGCTCCTTTCACAAGCTTGGCATTCTGAGAAGCAAATGTTTTTCCACAATCAGAATCATTGAAAGAGAACACTGAATATCCTATAACTCAGTGGGAGCAGTGTCAGTTGCTGGCCTAATTGGGAAAGCCAGACTTCTCCCAGTAAAAATTAACTTTGAGGGACCAGTAGGAGGTAGAGATTGAGAGCAAGGAGAAGAAATGTATCTAGGGGCAAATTTCTGACATCCTTCTTCCAAGTAAGGACAGGTGACTTTTCCCCTTGTTAAGGGTGAAGGGCTCCTACAAGGTAGAAAATTGAGTTTAATTGCATGAATAGCTTCCCTATGCTCTCTAAGAAATAGTTAGTGGTAGTTGAAAATCTCCAGTTAACTGTAGAAAAAGAATTTTGAAGTTGCTGAAGCATTAACCAACCATGTGAGGAACAATATGGGGTGTGGGAGAGGGGGTTGATCGACTGCTAGTTTGCCTCAGTTAAAAGAAAAATTCTACTTCCTTTTTGTCAGAATAATAAAGATGAAAAGTTTTTGCTTACTCAAAATCTTGTTGTGATAAACAAGTCAGGCGATAGAGCTTTATTTTCATGCTTGGCTGCTTTTTTATAGCCCTATACTAATCTTACTCCCTCTAACTTCTAAATAAGTCCACGAGTTTCCATTGCCATTGTAGTTTTCCATGTGCTGTACCATAGGTTCGGTATTTTGAATATTTAATCTATTTTTCTCATCACCTAAAGCTAGTCTCATACACTAGAATGTTAGAATATCCTCATAGAAATATGTTCTTTATGATATGAAATCTAGGCTCAGATTCATCTCTAACAAACTCTAAATCTCAATTGCCATGCTAACCTATTTTACAAACACGAGTTAGGAGCACGTCACTGCTTCTCAGGCCTGGTGGGAATAATTGTGAGTAGCAAACAAAATCATGTTTGGTTGTGCATTATGAGAAATAGATTGGTCAGTTCTCCAAATGTACTACGGTATTTTGCATTTCCGTACTTCATTCTCTCATCTTCATTAAACTACAGAAAATAATTTCTAGAACTAACTCTGCGCTGGTATTTCAAAGAAGCACAAGCATTGGCTCACTTTAAATATTCTGAAGTCGACTATATCTATATCTCTTTCACTAAAACTAAATGAACAATTCTTGGGCAGAAATCCCACCTAGGACAATGCTGAGCCTTTGCAGTGAGGAACAGTCATACGAAGTTTTAAAAAAAAGTGATGCCAATGAGATCGTAGATACTAAAGCTACTTCCTCCTTGTCTTACCTGTGAGCTAATGCTGGAAGTGTGAGCCCTAATATTGAACTATCTGGCTCTCAGCCTGTCTTCACGCTTACTGCTTATGTGAACAAAAACAAGGTAAATAATGTGCTGATTATCAGTTGCTTATCTGACAACCTAGGCCAGCAGTAGCAAACTGACAGGGGGATTAAATAACACCATCAGTGTCAGATCTTTACACTACATTGCCCATAAAATAATCATTTAGATTTCTTTAATTTTCATTACCAATATCAACAGATTAGTCGCAGACTGACTTTCTGCTTTCTAAAGGCATTCGTTGCTGCGCATCACTTCTGAAGTTAATGCATCCTCAGCATGAGTGCTTGCTAGCTCGTTAAGGCACAAGGAGAAGCAGGCAGCTGTTACAAGGTGGTGGCACCCACATGATCTCACCGCGGAGCATGCATGGGTAACATCCATTCATTTGATTAGTTCAAAGTAGTGAGAATCCCCAAAGAACCTGAATCTGCTAGAAAACCCTAAGGATCTGAACTGTGTAGTTTCTTCCAAACCAGAGCCCTGAATTGTGGAGAGTGCAGAAAGGAACATTTGCCAATGTAAAAATCACACTGTCAATCTTAAATGTTCCACAAAATATAGCTTCCGTCAAATATGTGTTTCTAATCTCCAAGATTTATAAGTGCCACTTTCGTTGCTATAATTGATTCTTAGGAAACTAACTAAAAAAATAAAAACTGCTTATCTCTAAAACATTTTTTAAAGATTTATTTATTTTTATTGGGAAGGCAGATATACAGAGAGGAGGAGAGACAGAGACGAAGATCTTCCATCTGATGATTCACTCCCCAAGTCAGTGCAATGGCCAATGCTATGCCGATCCGAAGACAGGATCCAGGAATTTCTTCTGGGTCTCCCACATGGATACAGGGTCCCAAAGCTCTGGGCTGTCCTCAACTGCTTTCCCAGACCACAAGCAGGGAGCTGGATGGGAAGTGGAACTGCCGGGATTAGAAACCAGCGCCCATTTGGGATCCCGGCGTGTTCAAGGTGAGGACTCTAGCTGCAAGGCCATGCCACCTGGCCCCTATCTCTAAATTTTAATTTAATATATTTTAAAAAAGATTTATTTTATTTTTACTGGAAAGTCAGATATACAGAGACAGGGAGACAGGGAGACTTTTTGTCTGATGATTCACTCCACAAGCGGCCACAAAGGCTGGAGCTGAGCCCATCCAAAGCTAGAAGCCAGGAGTTTCTTCTGGGTTTCCCACATGGGTGCAGGGTCCCAAGGCTTTGGGCCGTCCTCTACTGCTTTCCCAGACCACAAGCAGGAAGCTGGATGGGAAGCAAAGCAGCCGGGAATAGAACTGACACCGATATGGGGTCCCTGCACTTGCAAGGTGAGGGATCTAGCCGCCAGGCTACTGTGCCAGGTTCTAATTTGACATATTTAAAGAAGCAGAAAACCATGGAATAATTATTTTCTCATTGTGGAATTAACAATTATTGCTCAAAGGATGTAAAGTGAGAATCAAAGCAGTCTCGGATTGCTTCAGTATCAGCATGTGGGTAGACAGCAGATAGAAAGAAGACAGTATTTGTTTCAGAAGCCCCGAAAACTCTTGCATTTAGTGAGTCCCAAATCCCTTTTCAATATTGTTGGATAAGCAACATGTGTAGTCTTAAATATCACTGTAAAGACACATGATGAAACAGCAGTTCCAGCCACTTGAGAGCTGCTGCTGTGCATCGGTGCTGGCTGCCTGGTTGCTTGTTAAGCTATACCTGCAGGGTCATAGAATCCCTCTCAGCTGGAATTTGGTGTAACAAATAATGAGTGCGATGTCTGGATGCTCAGATAAAGCAGGATTTTGAGAAACCTTTGAGAAAAATCAGTCTGATCCAGAATTTTTGTTTCAGCTTTCTGAGAGGAAAGTGAGACGATCAGGTCATAACATTTGCTGGGTCGTGTCTTCCAATTCTCTAAGACTTTGCAATATATAAAGGAAAGATCCTAATGCTCACGTTTTTTAAATTTCAATATATATATAGTTAGCTGTTCCAATAAAAGTCTCTGCATCTCTCCTTTTCCTCTCCCTTCTTTTCTTGCTATCTTCTTCTGCCCCTGCTTGCCCTTCTCTCTTCCTTTCTATCCTCTGCCTTCCCACCGACTCACCTACTTTTTGCTTTTCTATCTTATTTTTTCTCATTGCTCTCTCTATAACAAATCTTTGCTATTGTCAGAACTTTCAAAAGTAGAGATTGCTTTGGGTTTTAAAAGCTCTATTTGGATGTAAACAATGCTCTTTTATTCCTAGTGAGAACATGAGATGATGTTTTTCACTTTCCTGTCAAAGTTGAACCTCCTTAATTAAAAAAAATAATTATTTTTCAGGATGTGTCATTTATCATAGTCTTTTGCATACAAACCGGAGTCACTGGGTAATGAAGAGTGCAGCAGAGTTGCCCTAAATTATTTTCAACACAAAGTGCTTTGGACTGGGGAGAGATAATAATTTTGTTTTATTTTTCATTCTTGATAAGTAGCAAACGTTGTTGTTGACAATGGACCTATCTGCTTTTCATGTTGTTTTCGCCTCTCCGTTAGGTCATGAAGCTTTTGACTGCCTAATAGTTTCCACCATGATTTATTCAAAATATTTCTAATTAGTAACCCTTCATTTGCCTTCACACGAGATCTTCTGGCCCTTTAGTTTTGCATCTTTGGCCTTTGTGAAATTTTCTATATTGCTTTGTTTATTTTTGAAACCATCAGCATATGGTGGCATATTTGACAAATAAAATCATGTTACTTTAAAGTATATTATGTGAGGATATGCATATATTTTGTGAAATGATGGATACAATCAATTTAGTTAACATATTCACTGCTTCATTTAATTAGCTTACCTAAATTTTGTTTATAAGACAATTCAAGCAAATTTCAAGTATGTGATTCACTTAACATATTTTCTACAATTATGATGTCATACAATAAAATGAATGAAAGAGGAAAAGAATTCCATATTGCCAATAATATCATTACAATACTATATATTCACTGTAAAATTTACCTAAATAGAACAGAAACATAAATATAAAAAGTGGAAAGTTGATATTCTGTCATCCATAGACATTTGATTTGATGGACTTTTATATCGTTACTCTTTCTCTCTTTGTGTCCATCTGTGCTGGTGCCATCCATGCATCCATGCATCCATGCATCCATCTATCCATCTATCCATCTCTGTAATCTGTTATATTGATCAGTAATATGTTGTGAACGTAATAATTATTTTGCTGCATTTTCATTTTAAATGTCTGTATGTGATTTATTAAAAGGGTAGATCTTAATCAAGTTTCCTTAAGGGGTATTGGTACATTTAAAATTTTTTCTATTTTGTTTTATGAGTTCCTAACATTTATCTACTTTAGAAGGAATAATCGGGGAAGGAGAGAGAGAGCTGGAGAGAGAAATTTTCCATCTGCTGGATCACTCTCTGTCATGCCCTCACCAGTCAGAGCTGGATCGGTGTGAGGGATCTGGAGCACAATCTGGGTCTCTTCCATGGATGGCAGGAAAGCAGCCACCCGAGTCATCGCCACTTACTCCAGAGTTTGTGCCTCCACAGGAAGTTGAAATAAAGGGTGGGACTGAGACTGGAATCCAGGCATTCTGTTATGGAATGCAGGCATTTCAAGGAATGGAAAGGCCCACCCCTGTGCTGGTTTTTAAATGGCAAAATGAGCTAGTGATTTTATCAGGCAATGGAAATAATGACAGCTGTTACTACAGCATGTAGGGAAAACCTAAGATTGCAATTTGAATTATAAAAATTCTGTGTTTAGTTTCATGTGCTGAGAAATATTTTTTATATAATTTTAATATTTGGAGAAAATAACTCCTTATAGAAAAATAAATATTGTGGGTAATATCTACATTGTCAGGAATGTGATAGCATGTTTTTTGGTGTAGTTGCATGTTTGGGATGTAGTTAAGCATAAGGTTTTGGGAAAGGCACAAGATTGTAATCGGCTATCTAGAATAGGCTCAGTCATACCAGGAGAAAGAAGAGGAAAATCTTACAATATCACTATACTCTTTCATGCCTTTTTTTTTTTAGAGGATTCAGTTCATTCCATCATTCAACAAAATGTGTCAATTGCCTACTTAGTATGATTTAGATACTAGCAATATATAAATGAATAACCTTTGTCCTAGTCTCAAGGTTTTCATGGTGCACAAGACAGGGAGGGTGAGTAATAATTACTGCTTGGGAAACTGTAGACAGTCTAATTAACTGTACACTTGTAGGGTAGACTAAAAGTCACCCTTTGATGTACTCATTAGGAAACCGGGAAGAAAACTAACAAGAAAAGTGCTGGGTAAGGTTAGATCTGAAGATGGAAAATAAAATCCCTGCCAACTTTCCTCTTTGTTTCATGTCTTGAGAGCGGTTCATACAACGTGTCCTATTATTGAGGTGCCATATCAAGCTAATGTGTCAAACTCAATCATCAGCTTGTATAGTATCTTAGCTTCAGGATTTGTTGAAGATAGATTTGTGACTGTTAGAGTACTACAAAACACAATCATTCCACTGCCATCTACAAGGATCACAAGAGAAATTCTCACTGCCTAGGAGCTTCATCCAAGCTTCTCAAACTGAATGGCCATGAGCATCACCAGGATGTTTTGTTGAAGTGAAATTTTCATTCATTAGGTCTGGGTCAGGGCCTGTGATTCTGTATTTCTAAGTGCTAATGATGCTGGCTCATAGACTGTGCTTGTTTGACCAGGACACAAGATGTCCTCATGTCTAGGAGAATTTGCCTTTGTAACTTCTTCTGTTTGTTTGCAGCTGCAGTGATGGTCCTAAATAGCATGAGTGTCAGCTGGAGTGCCCGGATCCAGATTTTTCTAACCTTTTGCAAGCTCACAGCAATTCTGATAATTATAGTCCCTGGAGTTATGCAGTTAATTAAAGGTATGGACTGAAAAGTAAATGATTTTTAAAACACGTATCTGCTTTTGGTCTCTTTCAACATTAACTTTTGCTTGTACTAGCAGAATCCTTAATTAGTCTCTGCTTGTAGAATTTAAACTCTACTGTCATCTAATTGATATGGAAGGCTGCTACATTAGGGATGATTTGGTATTTATAGTTGAATGGCAGCAAAGTGTTTAAGACTGGGCCAAACAACAAAATAAGGCAGTAGTGAATTCTCTTGGTAGAAAGTGTTGGAGTGAAAATTCAAACTGGGAAAAAAAATCTATCATTTGGTTTTAGCTAAAAAAAATTGTCCTTTTATTTCTACCTTAATGAATGTATTTTAAGTAGTATATCTTGAAACTCTTGCTAAAAGATGACCATTTCTATATTGTATGGTTATTATTTCTTTTATCTAGAGGATAGTATTCCTCTTTTAAGCTTTATTATATATTTTTTGCAAAGGAATATTTATGGAGAGAAGAAGAGACAGAGAATGATCCTCAATGCGCTGGTTCACTTTCCACTTGGCCACAACAGGCCTGGAACTGAGCCCATACAAAGCCGGGAGCCAGGTGCTTCTTCCAGTTCTTCCACGTGGGTGGAGGGTTCCAAGGATTTGGACTAGCCTCCACTGCTTTCCCAGGCCACTAGCAGGGAGTTGGTTGGAAAGTCGAGCAGCCAGGACACAAACAGGTGGCAAATGTGATCACAGAGCTTGCAGCTAGCATTATTAGAACTGAAGTGAGTAAGGGGGTAGTATTCTTAAGTACTACATAATATAATACAAGAGTTGTAAAGTAAAGTAGTTGCAATAAATAAAAATAATTGTAAAAAATGGGAATTCTATTATAGTATTTTTTTAAAGATTTATTTTTATTATTATTTTTTTTATTGGAAAGGCGGATATACAGAGAGGTGAGACAGAGAGGAAGATCTTCCGTCCAATGATTCACTCCCCAAGTGAGCACAACGGCCAATGCTATGCCTATCTGAAGCCAGGAGCCTCTTCCGGGTCTCCCATGCGGGTGCAGGGTCCCAAAGCTTTGGGCTGTCCTCGACTGCTTTCCCGGGCCACAGGCAGGGAGCTGGAAGGGAAGCGGGGCTGCTGGGATAGAACCGGCGCCCATATGGGATCCTGAGTGGGCAAGGCGAGGACCTTAACCACTGCGTCACTGCACCACCGCGCCGGGCCCTCATATAGTATTTTTAAAGTAGCATTTCTTTTCCTATAGGAATATAACATTAGTTGGAATTATTGAACTTACAGAGTATACTGTTGAATGAAAAGAAATTGTAGGGTGATTTTTTTTTAAAGGATTTTAATTGTTTTAGGGAAGAAGACACATGTAATTATTTGGCATAGAAAGAGATCCACATGAGTGACTCAGTTGGAAATAGGCACTACAGTAGGATATGGGAAAGTGAGAAGAAATTGTAAAGGCATGATGTATAGCTCTTGTTAAGTATCAGTGTTTCATTGACAGTGTCTGTTCCAACTAAAGGAATTTATAGGGAAATTTAATGACGTTGCGTGAGAAGAATTACACATGGCAAAAGGAAATGCCAAAGATCAGCCTAGTAATCACCATTGGTAGAGGCAGTAAGCAATAACAAACACTGAAAGATCATTGTCTCTGTAGCTGGGGAGAGGGAGCAGCTGTGGTCCATTTAATAAACCTTGGGGGAGATGTTAGGGGGCTTTCATCCAACCCAGCAACCTCAACCAGCTCAGAGAAAGCGCAATGGTTTGGAACACTAGAGCTCCCTTTGAAGGAGAGACCTGAGTTTGCTCTTTTAATTCGTCTTGGCTTCCACTGAACTGGCTGGCTTGCATTCTATCTTGTTCACGAGGAATGCTGGCAAAATAATTTATCTTAATAGTGCTTTCTTTTCTGGACTCACTATTTTGTCTTCCATAGAGAATTTCTAAGAATTTTAAGTGTAGAAACTTCTGACTCACTGGCTGTTCTTAATCCTAGTTTAGATTTCAAAAATTTTGATGTCCTATTTTTTGGAAACAGAAAATGCTTTCTACTTTTCTTCTTTCCTTGCTTCTACCTTTCTCTCTCCCTCTTCTTTTTCTTTTCTTTCCTTTTTTTCTTCTTTTTTCTTTCCTTTTCTCTTGTTTAAAGTAATACGACTCATAGGTGGCATCACAGACTAGAGTCAATTTTTACCACTTATTTATTATGTGTGTGAGTCAGGGTTTGGCTGCCCAACTGCTACTGTCATAAAAATTCCTTGAGAAGAGAGGTCATGATACATCTCCTGGATTTTTTGGCATTATAATAACATGATAATTAGCATTCATAATATCAGTGCTTAATGTGACCAGGATTCTCCACAGATCTCAATCAAGAGAAAAATTCCCTGAGAATCTTAGTATATTTAAAATGAGTTGTAACATTCTCAAGAGCTTTTTCATGGTTGTATTTACTGTATTACTGCAAGAATCATGATTTCCCTGGAGTATTTGGAGTGACGTTGTAGACGCCTGCATCGGAATACCTGCACCTGAGTCTCGGCTCCAGTTTCAGTCCCAGCTTCCTGCTGAGGCGTACTGGAGGCAGCGGGCATTGGGATTCCTGCCACCCACATGGGCGCCCTGAACTTAGTTCTGAGCTTCTGGCTTTGGTCCCAGTGAGCTGCTGTGGGCATTTGGGTAATGAATCAACACACGGAAGATCTCTCTTGCTCTCTCCTTCTGCCTTCCAAAGAAATACAAATATTTTTAAAAATTCCTTAGATTCTATTGAAATAACAGATATCTCACATTAGTCTAAAACTCTGGAAAGAGATGCTGCAGATACAAATTGTGCGTTTATTCCACTCTAATCAGAGAGTGAAAATAGTTATGTGCTATGTATTTACTTAGAGAATGTGATGAACTTTCTTTGAGCATTAAGACTTTAATCTACATAAGTCCTCTGATACACAGCCAAAATATTCAATTTTGAAATAAAAACCCGTTTTTTTCTTTCTTTTTTTTTTTTGCCATGTGATCTAAATGTCACTTTTGAAGAGCTGTTCTTGTGGCCACTTTTTTTTTTTAAAGATTTATTTATTTTTATTGGAAAGGCAGATATACAGAGAGGAGGAGAGACAGAAAGGAAGATCTCCCATCTGCTGATTCACTCCCTACGCATCTGCAATGGCTGGAGCTGAGTCAATCCGAAACCAGGAGCCAGGAGCTTCTTCCTGGTCTCCCACACAGGTGCAAGATCCCAAAGCTTTGGGCTTTCCTCCACTGCTTTCCCAGGCCACAAGCAGGGAACTAGATGGGAAGCAGGGCTTCTGGGATTAGAACTGGTATCCATATGGGATCCTGGTGCATGCAAGGTGAGGATTTCAGCCACTAGGCTACTTCACTGGTCACTGTTGAACAAGTTTCACTTCTTGATTATTTATGTTTGGACTCTGATCCTTTTAGGCCAAAGAGATCACGGGTCATGATTAAAGATTCTTAAAAAAAATTATCTCAATTTCAACATTTATATTTTCTTTCTGTAAGGATACAGAGTGTTTTTAGCAAATATGACATTTCTAACTTTATTATACCTTTTTAAGTAAAATTGTGATGATGTGTTTGTCAGAGTATAGAGTGAGAGTCTTTCTGTCCTCCATGTAATTCCCTAGATGGTTTCAATGGCTAGGGCTGGGCCAGGCTGAGGTCAGAAGTCAGGAATTTCATTAGGTCTTCCACATGGGTAGCAGGGGCCCGGACACCTGAGTCGTAGTCCTCTGCTTTGCCCTGCATTAGAAGGAGACTGGATCAGAAGTGAAGCTTCTAAGACATAAAGCAGTTGGCAACGTTGCCCCATAGCTTCAGATTTAAGGGTTCCATCACGCTCCCCAAATTTGCAGTTTACAGAAAATCTTTTAGTTTTAAAGATTTGTTTATGTGTTCATGGTGGCAATAGGGGGAAAAAAGCTTACTTATGTATTTGAAAGTCAATCTTAAACATAGAGAGGAAGAGGGTGAAGAGGAGGAGAGAGGGACAAAGAGAGATATGGAGAGAGGGAGAGAGAGAAAGAGAGAGAAAAGTATTTTTCCATTTGCTGGCTTAACCCCTGTGGTGGCAAAGACTGGGCTGGGACAGGCTGAGGCCAGGAGCTAGGAGTTTCTTCCAGGTCTCCCACACGTGTGGTAGAAATCTAAATACTTGTGATGCTTGCTGCAGTTTCCCGATGCTCACTAGCAGGGAGCTGAATTGGGAGTAGTGAAGCTACCATATGGGATAGAGCTATTGCAGGCAACAGCTTTACCCCTTGAAAGAGAGATGTGAAATAACATTTGTGGTGGCTAACACAATTTTGAGACTCCTTCTATAGAGTGGATATAGTATTAATAGATAATGTTGACATTGAATAAAACAATAAATCAAAACTAAAATGTTAATTTCCTGTCATTCCCTCTCATCCCTGTTTATGATTAAAGCATAAAAACAATAGTTATTTCTTTGGGTATCTCTAAAATGTTTCAATTGTAACTGCAGGTCAAACACAGCACTTTAAAGATGCCTTTTCAGGGAGAGATGCGAGTCTTATGGGGCTGCCCCTGGCTTTTTACTATGGAATGTATGCATATGCTGGCTGGTAAGTTCCTATGTTCAATTGGGCTCATTTGTATGCCTCATTAATTTCTTCCAGTTCTTTAAGTATAAAGCAGGTACAAATGTAGAGCCACCATCCATTGTCAGATACTTTACTCGAAAATGAGAAATAAGGTTTAACTTATTCCATGAGGCTAATTATGCACACATGACTTAGGACCAGCAACCCAGGTTTTTCCAGTGGTAGGTATAGAAACATTTTGCATTTTGAAAGGACTTGATAAGGTCTCAAAAATATTGACCACATCTAAAACCCAGATAAGCATCAGAGATGATTAAAAATTAAAGGCTTTGGATGTATTTCTTTTATGACATATGTATTTAAGGTGTTCGTTCACTCTGTAGATTGAGGCATTAGAACTCTGTTTACACTTTACCACATTCAGATACTTGAATAGAAATAATCATTTCCTGACTAAATTTTATAGACCTAATAAGATTTCATTGAAGTGACTGTGGTAAGGAAGCCTACCAGATTCAGAAGTTTGATTCAAGCATCAAAATCATTGAAGTAAGATGAACATGAATTTAAAAAAAAGATTAACATGAATTGTTTTGGAATAAATAATGACAATATTTCTTTTAATTACTTATGAAACTTCAGCTGGAAGAATGTTGTATGAGCCTCAGCATAATATCAGTAAACTATAATAGCTCAAGACTTATGCAAATATACTTTCAATACGGAAATATAATTCATGTTTTTCTTTCTAAAGTTTTTAGGCACTTCCAATCACTGTATGGAACATAAAGATGTACTTCATAATAAATGGAATGTGCACCTATTAATCTCATAGAATTGAGAAAATATAGCATCAGAAAAAACCTAGGAGGTTATGGGAACTTAACATTTTAACATGGCTTTGAAATGAAATATGTTTGAAAGCTGTTAGAAATGTGTGGCTCAAAGGAGACGATTGAAACATGTTTATATATTCCCAGAATATTTTGTTAGCCATTGTGTGTAAGCATTAGTTTTGAACCACTTAGTACTTTGAAGTCTTTTTGCTTCTGTCCAAAGCACAATGTGGTGCTGGACAGAGAAAAGAACCAAGTGCGATTACAGGGTGAGACACAGAATCAACTCCTCTGCGGCTGTTCAGTGGGAATCAGAGCTGCAGGCCCTGGGACAGCAGCCAAGCTGCAGGAGGGTCACTGGGAAACGCAGAGCAAAGTGGGAGGCAGCAAAAGCTTTAAGCGACAGCCAAACCTGGGGAGCCCAGTAATATTCATCTCAGGAATGTGGTATGTGCAGATAGTCACAAGGGAGATTTGATTAATTCTGTTGAATGAAGTCTCGTTTGCCTGCAAGTGCCATACATCTGTTCCCACGGAATCTTAAAATAATTTTAACCTCCTCAGTCCTCTGCTGCTCGGCACTGAATATTCAGGTCACTTGTTTTATTAAAGTAGAACAAGCTGGCTCCACTTCCGTTGGCTTTTGAGGACTGATAGATTTCTTGGAGCATGAAGAATACTCATTTTGAATTCTCTTACCAAGTTTTATTGATGCCGAACTCCAAATGTTATTCTGCTTACAAGTTAAAAGGAGTTTTTATGAACCTTTATTTATACATTTATCCTTATATTCCTTCAGTATAATCCCTACTTTAAGAATCAGGAAACCATTGGTTTTCTTATATTGAAAGTTCAATCACAATTTTGGAGCTTATGTCCGATATTTTAGTGGAAGGTTATTGGATACAACTGACTTTTGTAGAAGTCAGAAAAGTAGGTGTGATTTCAGAACAGGTTGTTGTACTACCTGAATGCAGCTCTGTGAAGAAGAGGAAATAATCTCGTTGCTAATCTATGGTCATTGGTTTTAGAAAAAAAAAAACTGTGTTTAGAAAAGGTAGTCAGTTGCTTTGGAGTTCCAGAAAAGATATTATCTGGCTGTAAGTTAAACAAGAAGGACGATAAAGAATTCCCAAGGAAAGGAGCGTTTATTCACTTTCTTAATGTTATCTTTGTTTTTCTGACCACGTTCTCTTTCACCGTTTAACTGAAAGATGGGACTTTAGAATTATAAATGGAGGCTTGCAAAAGTACCTACATTCCCAGAGCTGCTGGGGACAAAATTTAACAAAATGATAATAGCAGTAATAATAATAATAATAATAATAAATGCAGAGTCTTTGCTAATGATATTACAGCTGTGAGGCAGAGCAGCTCATCAGAACTTACTGCCTGGCCAGTTTGCCTGTAAGTGAAAGTGGCAAGACCACGGTTGTCCTGGAGACCAAGCCCAGGAGCCATTCAACTCCTCAGAAAAAGACACCAGCAAGCCTTGGGAATAGAGAAAGTTTTTGGCTCTGAGGAGCACAGAACCTTTCTAGAATGATGAAAGCTCCTTCACTGAAACATGATTAAGGGGAAAGAAATCATTAACAAAGCCAGGTCACAGAGTGTGTCAGGACAACTTTCATATTATCACCAGTGTCTGCATTAAGAGAAATCCATTCACCATTCCCCCACTGGCCCTAGGGAGCACAACCAATTTCAGCCCCTTATACTGATCCAAAGCTAAATATTGCTTGGAGAGATTTTCATTTATTTATTTATTTATTTATTTGAACTGTGTGATAGAAAATAGTTTTTTAGTGGTTTTTTTCCCCCTCCCTTTTTAAATCCTATCCTCAATGGATTTTGTCTTTCTAAAGCACCTGCTGGGATTATTTTGCACCATTGTGTCGAATCTAATATAAAGAATAAGCTTCTTTTAAAAATAAGTCACATAGTCTGGTATTGGAATGCATTGCCAGCATCCCGGTACCTTTTGTGTACAATCATGGAAAAGCTGGAACAATAGAGCCTGTGGCCATTCTCCAGAGGCCTTGAGGAGTTGTAAACCAAAGACAGTACTATGGACTCATTGCTAGAGACTAGAAGATCATAAAGGTGTATTTCCCACAGGATCTGAATGTTTGGACTAAAATAAAAAGCTTTCTCCTTCCTCTCCCCCACCCAGCCCCAAACCCTTTCCTTTGCACTGTTCTCTGGAGCAAAGGGAAATATTTGAAATTGTGTCCTTTCTTCATGCACATATTTCCTTTCTTGCTTTAACGTTGTTGGAAAGGAACAGTTTCTAAATGAACACTTATGAAAGAACTGGCTATTTTGGAGATGAGAAGCATAGAAGTACAAGGAGTCTTCAATCAGTTCACACACACACACACACACGCACATAAAACACATGATAAAATGATCCTGGATTATATTTAGTTATTTTTTGCACCAAAATGCGTATCTTTTAATTTGATTTATTATGCAAACTTACTGAAGCACCCTCATATTTCTTAGTATGTGTGATTTTTTAAAAATTTCTTCCAGTATTTCCCATTATCTCAGAGTTATAACAAATTTCTCTCACAGTGCATATTCCAGATAAAAATAATGGTTGTCGCCTGCTCTCCTTGTATAACCACAACCTCTGTTTTTAGAAACTTTAGTTTCTAGTCATTAAAAAAAATCATTGTCTGCTAACATTTTAGATATCTTTATTGGTATTGTGTTCCAATTTTATTCAAATGTTTTGCCCAAATCACAGTGCTTAAAATTATGGCCACCTTCACCTTCAGCATCAATTGCACGTTTGTGAATTCAGATGAGGTTTTTATGAAGACAGGAAGACAGGTTTCCTTATCTGAGTCTGAGGATGTGACATGCTTTAATATCTTATGATTTTATGGATTAACATTCCACCCATTTTGTTAAACTGTGGAGAAGTTATTCCCATACAACTACTCCCTGTGAATCTATATAAAAGGTTATGCTACCTTCTAGAAAATAGTTATACAAACACATATATATATATATACATTGAAATTTACTATGTTAGAATTCCCAAAATAGGTGAAATGAGGAGGTTGTAAGGTCTTTGTTTTTATGTATTTAGCTCTTGCTCATGATGTTTGTTAGTTTTCTCATTTTTATGAGTGGAGTATCTGCAAATGTGTTTTGAAGATCAAGTCATCCTCAATGTTTCACATTATGGAAACTTAAGAGAAAATTACAGGGATCTTAAAAGAAGCTTCAGTGGATCCTTAAATTTGAACAAAGTTGAGGCTGCCAGACGGGACTGGTATAGCAACAAAATGAAAGATAAGCTTCTGATTTTTTCTGTTATTTTGATTTTAGGACAATATTTGCAATCCCATGGAATTTGAGGCTTAGAATGCGTCTTGTCACATAAAATGTCCAATAAAGTGCTCCATATAAAGGACATGTTGAAAATTTCTGGAGCTTTTATTGCCAAATTGTGGTTTAATGAATAACAAAGTACCTGCATATACAAGAAAAAAACACAGAAATGATAACATTTTTATTTATGACATGAAGTTACTTGGGCTATACTCTAGAAAAAAAAATCCTTCAAAGAATGAGGTGCAAAGCCAAAACTCATTACATTTTAAAAATGTTATACTGTTTGAGTTGTCAAATCACAGTATATGTATTTTTGACTCATAAATAAAATGCGAAATAATTAAATCAAACTAACTGATACACACACATATGTGTCAGCTCAAATATTTCTTGCTCTTCCTGGCAAGAACATTCAAAATGTATCTTTTTAGCAATTTTGAAAAGTACAATGCAATATTTTTATGCTGTTTTGCTTCCTATTTGTATACTGTGTTTATAGCTAGGAAGCCATTAACAGTTTCCTAAAGCTGAGAAATGCTGCTGGCACACTGTAGGCTTTGATTGAGTTGGTTCTGCTACTAAAATTTGAATGCTCAAGAAACATGGATCACTCTGCATTTACATTTTTGTTCCCACTTCCTTGGCCGTATTTGTCCCAGAGAATTCCAACTTGTTGCTTGTATTCCTGGCACGACCCCTCCCACACAGTTCTGTGCTTACACTTTTATGTGGACAAATGTGTGGACTTTTAGTTCCTTGAGGAGAGTCTATGGACTTATTATTCTCATAGTCCATGTGTCTGACACACGGTAAGCATCCGCCAACTGTGGTTTAATGTGACAATGATTGGTGGGGGTTTGGATTGTTGAAGACTTTCATCACACTGAAAGTTTTAAATGAAATTTTCATGATTTTGAATTGAATTTTAACTACTTAAAATTTGTAATTTTGTACTTCCATAATAAAATATACTAATAGTCTGTGATTCATTTTATATTTTTAGGTTTTATCTAAATTTTGTTACTGAAGAAGTAGAAAACCCAGAGAAGTAAGTAGCCACACTTACTCAGTAATTTTTGCAAAAAATATTTATGATACACAGTTGAAAAAGTAGATCTAAAGAAGGAATTCAGTATGGGGTATTCAAATGTAATGTCATTATAATTATTCACTACTGCAGTGAAAACTATCCGGTATGCTGTAAAACATATAGACCTGTTATTTATATAGTCCATGTTTATTACTAAAGTGCTGATAACCAGAAAGCAGAAAAAAATAGTCATGTTTTAGTCCAACTTTCATGTATACACATGTATGTAAAGCTTAGCCTGGGATCCTATAAATGTAGGTGAAACAATTAGTTTAATGTTTCTGATAAATTATTTTTTCATAACTAATTCAAGTATCGATATAATCTATAAGTAGTTAGTCCTAAGAACCTAAAAATATTCACAGAATATTCTGCAACTTGTATGTTTTTGCAGTTAAATCATTTTGCTTTTTTTCCCCGTAAAGAATAATTTGCTAATTGGATTATTTGATTATATTTTCATAACATTTCTGAGATATATTAACTTAGAAAATTAAATTATTTTAATTTATGCCTAAACAAAATGCTTGATTTTGTAAAGAAAAGTAATGTGATAGGACAGAATATGAAGAAGTATAGAATAAAAGAAATTATAAAGCTATTTAATCCAATTCACTTTTATTGAGAATCTTCTGTATTCTAACAATTGTGCTGGCAGCATCTTACATGATAAACAAAGTTTGTCTTCAATTATTTTGGTGTCTAGTCAATGAGTTCAATGTATAAACAAATAAATATAACATTGTAATTAAACTATTGTTGGTTATACACTTTAGCAAAAAAGAAAGGAGAAGATGTTTTAATCCTATTTAAGGACATAGTGCTAAAATAGTGTTTCAAATGAAATGTTTTGGGGGACAGTGAGAAGGAAGGACAGAAAAGGGGAGAAAAGGAGAGAGAAAAGGAACAGTCCAAAAGAACATGAAGTAATGTAAACTACCTGGACATCAGAGGTGAATGCCTGACTCTCGACACTTCAAAGTAAAATAGACTAAGACATTCTGGCCACAGGTGTACTGGAAAACACTCAGCTGATTAGATTTGGTTAAGTACCAGCTTGTCGGGGTTTAGAATACACAAGCCAGCAACTATTTAAAATGATGTCTTAGTGTCTGATGCAATAGTTATTCAAATTGACATGCAATATAATATGTGAAAATGTGTTTGCAGTTGGAATTATAGGTAGAGAACAAATATTTGCTAGGAACTAGTGCTGTTACAAGTTTTTTAAATTATTGTTATTACTTGGAGATGATCTAGATCCATAACATTTGTTATCATTTATTATATGTTACACCAGTAGTGTAGATATATTTTTGTGTTAGTACTGTTGAACAATTTAAGCATAGTAACTGTGTTATATCATTATAGCCCAACCTGAATTTCTGGTGTATGCTAGCAGAGTGACATGTGAATCACAGATTATTTTCCGTGCCTGTCTCCCTTTCCTAAATTGAGGGTCGTAGTTTTGCACACTAATATGGTCACAATGATTCAGGGTTTAAAAATGTTGAGAATTTAAAAATATGATGGTGATGGATTGACTCAGTGATTTTTATCTGTAGTTAACAAATTTCCTTATCTCAAAAAGGAAAAATAATAATAGCAACACATAGCTGAAACGGATTGTATTAAACCAATAAGTATAAAATACTTATAGCCATTATTGTCACTTTCTATTTGGTTACTGTTACCTCTATTATATCCAAGGCAAAATGTTACTTATAATTGGTGTTTTCTAGGTTTCAGTATCCTAGGCAATTATCTTTTCAGGGCTATAGGAAGAAATCTGAGTATTTATTAGAGATATTGAAGCCTACATTCTTAAGTCTTCAGTGCTGAAGTTAATGTGTACTTACGATCTCTTTCATTTTTGTATATGGACTTTATTGAAGTTTTGTATCTGGAGAAAATAATGCTTCATTTTAAATATAAGAAGCATTACATGTAAGAGCTTTATAATAATATAAATGTAATTATTGATAGTAACATTATTACTTGTGATATTGGATGAAAAATGTTTAATTTTTAAAAATATTGATTCTGCACACTTCACTAAATATATCTGTGGTACATGAGTACAGCATATCATTTAAAATCCTAAAGTAAGAAACTTCTCAGGAAAGCTTACGACTCTCTAGGCTTTTGAGATCAATGTCATAAGTGACTGCTAATACATTGGGTGTAGAAAGAAATCTCTGATGTATTTTTGTTCTTTCACTGTAGATATTCAAATATTTAATTCTTCCATGGGGGGATACTGTGTAAAATGCCAACACATTTATCTCTTCAAAATTAAAATATGCAAAAGCCACAAAAACTCGTCCATGTAAAAGTTAATATTATTATGCACATTTTAATCAAAGAAAAGTTAGGGCTTTGAGCAATTTCATCAATGTCTTAAGTTTTTTCAATGCCAATTTATTTAATGTTGACCATCACCCAGGCTAATTCCAAGCTGAATTTTATTTGCTAAATACAAAGAATGCTTTAGGAAATTTTAAGGATTGAATATCAAGAACAAATGGCAAAATTATGTGGCTCTATTTTAGATGTATGGTTTGTATTATTCTGTAGGTAGGCATGCCTCCAAAATACAGAGTTTCAAAATACCTTCAATACATGGGAGAGTAATGATGATTGCGTTTTCTTTGTGATGTGCCAAGAAAAAAAATCTATTTTCCAATCAGTCACAGGTGTATATGTCTAGGTGTGCTCTAACATGCAACTTGCTGGCAGCTGGTGAAATGATTGTTGGACAAACATACAGTATCTTTTACTGTCCTCATCCACTTAAGCAATACAAATTTCTAAAATTGTGACCTAATCAGAAAGGTGGATATTAATTTGGATAGTAGAAAATAACAAGGTGACCTACAATATGTAAAAAACAAACAGTAAATGTTTTCATCATCTTGTTGACTACTGCTCACATGCAATTTCAGGTTTATAAATGTCTGTTTACTTATTTGAAAGTCAGAACTCCAGAGTGGGAGAGACAGAGTTATCTTCTATCCACTGGCTAACTCTCAGATGGCTGCAGTGGCCAGGATTGGGCCAGATGAAGTCAGAGCCAGGAGCATCCTCCAGAACTCTCATGTGGGTCGAAGCAGCACTTTCTCTTACTTTTTCCTGGCCATCAACAGACACCTGGAGCAGAAGTGGAGCAAGAGGGACACAAAATAGTGCCCCGATGAGATCCTGGCATCGGAGGCAGGAACTTTGCCCAGTATGCCATAACATCAGCCCCCATATACTTTCATTGAAAAAAAAAACTTTCATACTACCTAAAGATACTCTGAAAAATAATTTGATCTGCTAACATAATCACAGGTTATAGAACAGATCCTTAAATGTAACAAATCAGAGACAAACGTACACAATTTCTGCTGAAGTGGTTACATTAATAATGTTAAGAAATTTAAACATGATCCTTCTTATAATGTTTTCTTTTCCAAAAATCATTTTGGATATCTGGAAGAAGCAACTTTCCAATTCGTTAATTTATACTGAACATTTATAGTAACGTAAGAAAATTGTGTTTGATAAGCATTCATCATATGGCAGCTGAATCCATTTCTTAACATATTAAAGAAAGAATAGTATGGTTAGGATTAAGTGTTTAAATTTTTGGACCATGAAGGTGATAGACTCTGAAAGGCCTGAATTTAAAATGTTATTTTCTTTTGTGTAGTTATAATGGCTGATAACATATGCATTTCTTTTAGAACTCAAAAGTTATTTTTTGCAAATAAAATGGGTGTTGCCTTGTGACATTACTTTTGTGGGAACTGTGCAATCTGTCATTGTTTAAAAAGTTCTACAGTGCAAAGAACCTATCATTGAGATGTATAATGTTTGTAATCCTGTGCTTAGATTGATAAATCATGTCTTGTGTTGATGAAAGCCAAGAAATGAATTGCTTTGCTTTGACCTTGAAGGTCTGAGATTAGTCAGTTTGTCTATTAGATTTGTTCCAGTGTTCTTCTCACTTCATTTATTCCTTCTGTTCAAAAGAGTTGGAAATAGTAGACTTACACAAAGTCAGTAAGGCTTGATATCATCAGTCATCTTTGAGAACAGGCTATCAACATGCTCTGAATCATCAACTTTAATAGAAGGTTTAAATAATCAGAGTGTCATCATTAATTAATACTCTTCCAGCCTCCAATTTATATTAATTGATGCCTCAAAGTCATGACACTGAGTATCAATGATAACTTAGAAGAGAAACTGGGTTTAGGAAAAATACTTGGAGATTTCCAAGGAAATGTGATTGATTGGACTGGTCCATATATGGCCCCAAATAATGAGGTGATTTGCATTCAGTTCAGGCATTGTAGTCTTATATATTCTCAGTATATTTGTGTGTGTATGTTTTAATTAGGTAAATTTATACTTATTCAAATTTTAAAATAACTGAATGAGTTAAGTGCATCATCTTTTTAAGGTTAATTTTTTTTTTGCCTTTCAGTTTTTTTTTTTTTAATAATCTTACTTAGGTGATTAGGGTAGAAAGGGACAAGGACTACAGGAAAGTGGGTAAAACCATTGTTTCCAAACTAATATATTCATTTTCCCCCTATATCTGGGGTTAGGGGTAAAACAAAGGGAGAAACCGCACCCAGCCTCCCACCCATCCCATGTCCCTGATGTGAGGCATGCTCCAAGGATCCTGCTCAAGTAAATTTGATAGAGCAACAGGTTTGAATTGCTGCCAATCTCGCCATTCTAAACAGGATGAAATCTATTCAGAATCCACTTGCTGACATAGTCTCTTCGTGGTTGTGGCTCTGAGACCAGCAGTTCAGTTGGACAGATCTCCAAAGAAACTTTGAGGTGATCCCAGACTGATTCTTGTGTGTGCTTGACAGTACAGGGTCCGGCACCATCCTTTGCCACAATCAGCTTATGCACATGCTGGTCATTGCAATTGCTGGGTCAGTTCTGTTTCCAGC